TGGGAATGTGGCACAGCACAAGCACATCCATCTGCTCCATGCCAGAGATGGCCAGGGGGATTTTTCTGTGAAGTGGCTGAGCCAGAATCATGGAATCAGAGAATATCCTGAGCTGGAAGGGACCCCCAGGGATCATCCAGTCCAAATCCCAGACAACCCCAACAATCCCCTCCTGTCCCTCAGACTGTTGTCCAAACCCTCCTGGAGCTCTGGCAGCCTTGGGGTCATGACACTGCCCTGGGGAGCCTGGGCAGTGCCAACAACCCTCTGGGGGAAGAACCTTTTCCTAATATCCATCCTAAACCTCCCTGGCACAGCTCCAACCATTCCCTGGGTCCTGTCCCTGGTCACAGAGAGCAGAGATCAGAGCTGCCCCTCAGGAGAAGCTGCAGACTCCGAGGAGTCTCCCCTCAGCCTCCTCTTCTCCAGCTGAACAAACCTGCAAAGCAAAAACCCAAAAAAACCTCAATAAAAGACTCAATAAAACACTCCACCAACACCTCAAAACACCTCAGGGCTGCCCCCCCCTCCCTGCAGGGGACAGCCTGGGGGGAGCAGAGCCTTCTCCACTGCCCAGATCCCGAAATTATCTCCACACATCACTAATGCCAGCACTGAGGTACAGGCAAGCCTTAAAACCCACAGTCTGCCAGTGATATCCCAAAACCCCTCCAGAAAAACCCTATGGCATTGAATCCACAACCCCCCCCCCGGGGAACAACACGACCACAATTAAAATCAAGATGCATGGACACGGATCTCGGCTTCCATTCCAGGCTTAATCATTGCTCGACAGCCACAGGAATCCCTCAGAAGTGGAAAAAGTCCAAGACCGGGAGGGAATCACTGCACTTCAGCTTTGGGGAAGGCCTGTCCTTCTCCTGCCACCTCGTGGGCAGCGAGAGAAGAACCAGGAACAGAGTTTCCTGCCACAGTGACGCTCCCAAAAACTCCTTAATCATTTCGACCCCTTGTAACCAGCATTTGCACCACAAACCACCACTTGAGGTGCCCAGAGGAACCGGAATTTTAGGCAAACCCATCTTTGGAAAGTCCCTCTGTCACATGTGCTCCTTGAGAACCCAAAAGATGCTCAAAACCACAATCAGTTTGCCCAAAACTCCTGAATTTGCTGCCCCAAACAAAGCCTGTATCACAAAGAAGCTGTGCCATCACCCCCAACTTTACCTTAGGGCCAGGACAATACATCCCATGAAAGGAGTTGATGTAACAAAGGTACTCAAAGCACAACAAAAGACTGAAGAAAATCAATATTTAAATCCCCCCAAAAATATTTGCTGCTACTGGAAGTGACCCCAGAGCTTGAAAATAAATTATTTGAAGCAAAATAAATGAAATAATTCCTTTAAACAAAATTACTGCACCTAAAATAGTGGAGTTCTAAGGGGCTCCAAGCAACCTGGGGTAGTGGAAGGTGTCCCTGCCACAGCAGGGAGTGGAACTGGATGGGCTTTAAGGTCCCTTCCAACCCAAACCATCCTGGGATTCTGTGACAATAAACACACACAAGTTGTGAATCCCCAGTACATGACACTGTCCCTCACAGTTGCTTTAAAAAATGGGGAGTTTGGGTAAACCAAAGCCAAAGGCAAATTCACTGCCTGGGTGGGAGTGAGGAGTCAATGACAGATAAATTAGTGTTGGAAAGCAAACAGCACCATCAGTCCTGGCCTTCAAACAGCCTCTGGAAGAGGCAACAACAGAGCCACATGGAGAAAGTGCCAAATTCCCTGAATAAAGGCAGTGAAAGCAGGCAAGAACCTCTAAATCAATTAAAAATCAGCTCTAGCAGCTCATTAACACTTTTAGCAACCTCCCAAAGAGCAAACCTGAGGACATCCCTGAGGACTCCCTGAGAGCTCCCTGAGAGCTCCATAAGAACTCCCTGAGAGCTCCCTGAGAATTCCCCAGAAAGGCTGCTCTGATCTCCAGGAAGGTTTAACACCTGCCAGGGCATTCCCTGGGCCCGTGGTGAGGAGGGATCCCAACTCCCAATCAAGTCCAGCAGCTCATTAACACTTTCATCAACCTCCCAAAGGCCAAAGCACCGAGAGCTCCCCGAGAAGTCCCTGAGAGCTCCCTGAGAACTCCCCAGAAACGCTCTGCTCTGCTCCCCAGGAAAGTTTACCACCTGCCAGGGCGTTCCCTGGGCCGTGGTGAGGAGGGATCATTACCCTGGAGCAGCTGCAGCCGTGCCAGCTCCAACCTGAGCTGTTCATTCTCCCTCTCGTACTCCGAGGCGATGGCATCCCGCTCCTCCGTCAGGGCACGCACGTGGCCCACGTAGCTTTCCACCTGCAACAGGGAAAACAGCCCTTGCCACCCAGACCAGGGAAAACAGCCCTATCCCTGTGGCTGCCAGAGCCTCCCCAAGGGGCACAAAGAGCTCTGCCACCTTCGGATTTAAAGGATAAGCCCAAGTATTTGTAGGACGCTGCACCTTCAGAACAGCTGGGGATGGGAAAACCTGGACTGGGAGGGGGTGAGGTGTGGGGGTGCTGGGAAGGGGGGGCTCTGAGCCACGGCTCTGTGGGAGATGCTGGGCTCACCACCTGCTTTTTGATGCCCCTACATGAGGAATGGGGATGTAGAGGGGATGCCCTGAGTTTCCCAGGGTAGCAGAGTGGCTGTGACACCCCTGGACGTGCTGCTGCACAGAGGGGATGTGGGACTGGGTGGGTTAAACCCAGAGGGGATCAGAGGATCACTTAGGTTGGAAAAGACCTCCAAAATCATGGAGTCCAATCTGTGCCTGATCCCCACCTGGGCACTGAGTGCCACACCCAGTCCTTCCTCAGACACCTCCAGGGATGGGGACTCCACCTGGGCAGCCCCTTCCAGTGCCTGACCACTCTTTCCATGAAGAAATTCCTCCTCATGTCCAACCTGACCCTCCCCTGGCACAGCTTGAGGCCGTTCCCTCTCCTCCTGTCCCTTGTTCCCTGGGAGCAGAGCCCGACACCCCCCCAGCTCCCCCCTCCTGTCAGGGAGTTGTAGAGAGTGAGAAGGTTCCCCTCGAGCCTCCTTTTCTCCAGGCTGAGCCGTCCCAGCTCCCTGAGACATTTCTTGTACTCCAGCCCCTTCCCCAGCTCCGTTCCCCTCTCTGCACTCACCAGAGGGATGGGCCACGGCTGGTGACCACACACCCCCTGAACACCTCCAGGGATGGGGACTCCATCACTGCCCTGGGCACCCGTGCCAGTGCCTGACTGCCCTTTCCATGAAGGAATTTTCTCATCCAACCTGAGATTCCATGAAGGAATTTTCTCACCCAGCCTGAACCTCCCTCGGCACAACGCGAGGCCACTTCCTCTCGTCCTGCCCCTCTTTCCCCAGGAGCAGAGCCCAACGCCCCCTCCGGCTCCCCCCTCCTGTCAGGGAGTTGCAGAGAGTGAAAGGTCCCCCCGAGCCTTCTTTTCTCCAGGCTGAGCCCCCCCAGCTCCCTCATCCCCGGTGCTCCAGCCCCTTCCCCAGCCCGCTGCCATCCCAGGACAGCCCCAGGAGGGTCCCTTACGTCTCTCATGTCCTGCTCCCGCCG